GGTTTCGAAGGATCGCATGCTGCAGCCGCATCCCAAGGGTACATCCTCGGAGTCTGAAGAAGCCTCGCCCTGAGCGCCTTTGCCCGAAGCAGGCTCCTAAGCAACACGCGCAAGAGCAATGGCACATATGTCACACCAACAGCTGTCAAATATTCGACAGTGTTGCAACATCATTAAAGCCATGGGTCCAAGTTCTTGTAGCCCAAGCCATAGATGCGTTTTCGCAAAGGGTTGAGCTTGTGGTCCTTCGATGTTCTCGCACGCTTCAAGATACGCCGGGTGCGACCAACCTTGCCACAGGATTGGCATGGTTGTGTTAACTGCAAGCAATGACATATGAACTGATTCTGACAATCATGGTGCAATCAAAACGCCAGCTTCTTCAAAGCATTCCCGTGCTTCAAGCTCCACGATTGTACACATTCTGATTCAGGGCAGAGACCAGCAGGGAATAAAGAGTACTTAACGTAAAAGGCGACGATGGCTTTCTGCAGGAGATAGGCGGACATCCGGGCCTTGCCGCCGGAGCCCTTGAAGACTGCAAAAATCGCCTAAGCTGCATCTGAGAACACATCGAACCATTGCAGCGCTCGGAACAAACATTTAGTTAGCCAGGCTGCATCACCGTTGCAGCGAACATCTCGAAGGGATGGTCTCTTCGTGAAGAGCTTGCCCGAGTGATCGGACAAAAACGCCAATCCCACCTGCGCAAGTCAAAGCTGCTTGGTCCCATGAGCCATATGGTGTGTATTTCAACCCGGAATAGGCCTCAAACTCAACTTCAAAGAGTGCAGAAGGAGACTGGAATCGCTATATTCGGTCAGGCACACCCATCGATTCCTTCCTGAGCCTCTCCTAGGTCCTATATATAGAACGACAGACACTCGATCCCGGATCACAATGTAGCTTTTTTCGCAGGACCCACCTCTTTGAGATGCTGCTGCTCACCGAAGGCACGGGCTATGTTCTCCACCATCGGCTGCATGACTACTGCAAAACAATTGGCACGATGTTAACCGCTGTATATATCACCATGAAGATGGATGCCCTGGCTGCTGCTGATCCACACAAGTAACCAAATACGTTCACTCAGCTGAATGCCACATGTGCAAGAAGACATTCAGTCAGCTGCATGCATAAAGGCACGACGCATCGAAACCCCACTGCCCCTAAACATCCCTAAACTGCAAGAACCCTCTCGTGCACAAGGCTGGTGGGGGCGAGCACCTGTGCTGCCACACCCGAGGCCCGCCTTGAGATCGATGAGTGCCTGCCAGCACAGCTGCAGTGTAAAAGGGTGCACAGTGCATATGGCAATCTACCGGAATCTACCGTGCAGCAAAGGTAAAGTTTGCAGGTGACTGGTTCAGGTTTACATGATGCTGTCTAAACTGGCAGGGGTACCATTCACTGAGGAAGAAGTCCACGTAGTCCATCGAAAGCTCCTGCAAGTCCAGTTTGTTGAACCGCGTCGCGCACACTCACTTGCATCCATGCAAAACTGCCAGAACTCTCGCGATGCAAATTGGCAGAATTCTTGCGCACTGTTTTGAATGCTCGCGTGCGCATTGTCGCTGTGCACAGCTACCATGGATGATCTCATGGCGTGGGAAGATCTTTGCTGCCAGCTATAGACTTAAAGCTTCGAGTTCGCTCCCTGGGCCCAGCTAGACTCAAAGCCGAGTTAATTTGTTTTAAGCTATGTTGCATGTTCATGCCATGATCTCATCCAACGTACTCTGCGGGCTCTGGCGTGCCCCACGTGCTTTCCTCCTCCTGGCGAAGAACACGCTTGTGCAGCGGGACAGGCAACCTTCGGCGATGCTCTGGTGGAGGATACTTGCCATCGCCCTTGCCCTTCCCATCATCCATCTTGCCGCTGCCCTTCTGGTATTCCCCGTTGCCCTGGCCTGGATCCTGGCCCCAGTGGTCTTTCTGGTGGCCGCCTTTCTGGTGGCCACCTTTCTCGTAGCCTTTCCCCTGGGTTTTGCTCTGGCCTTTGTTGTGACCACCATGCGACTTGCCACCATGGTCGAGGAAGTAGGGGTTGATCGCCGGCAGCTCAGGGTTCTCCTTGTGGTCACGCTCTCGCTTGGGACCATACTCTGTCCACTGCCCCCAATCCTCCATGTCATCCTTCTTCTCCTCGAGAGCCACGTCGGGGACCCATGCCCAGCACCAGCGGCCACCGGCACTTGAAGACGATCTCGAAGACATGTCGCGGGCGAGCTACAAAGCTTCAAAGCCACGCACCCTTAAGCACAAAGATCCTGCAGAACGTATAGCTGCGCTGCAAGGCGTACATGTTGCACATGCTGCACACAGCCCAGACAGTCGAGAACCCTTAGTGAACCACCGTCGCTCCTGGATGCAGGCAGTGGGCTGCTCGCACGCCATCGTGATCGACATGGCGGGCTAGGTCATGTTGTAAGGCCCTATATAATTTGAAGTGGTTTAGCTATATCGTACAGGCTTTTGGGGAAAGTACTTGCAGTGTTGTCGGAATTGACTTCATGTTGCCCTGCTTATGTGACCCTAAGTGCGGCCGAGCGATAGGGTTCAGGGTTCAGGGTTTAGGGGTTAGGGGTTAGGGTGTAGGTTTTAGGGTTTAAGGTTTTTAGGGTTTTGGGTTTGAGGTTTTCGGCTTTAGGGTTTAGAGTTTACATATATATATATATATGTATGTATATATATACATATTATTACATATAGAGAAAGATATAAATATTTAAACAGATAACTATATTTGTATAAATATATAGTACACAGGTTTATTCATCTAACAAATAAATATAAATGTAAATATAAATAAAAATATATATATATATATACCATACATACATACATACATACATACATATATATATATATATACATATATATATATATATATCGTACACAGACTGATAACGGATATTAAATATCTATATCACCCCGCAAGAGTTTTTTGTCGATGAGCATCATGAGCATCGAGCGCAAGGTTCAGCCAGACAATATCTGTACAGGATCATATATACATTGGAAAATTTTCCGTGACACTGAAAGACCACCCCCGTGAATTTTCACACCCTCCCTTTTTCACGGCCATATCCCTTTTCACGGCCATGCCCCTTTTTCACGGCCATATCGTCGTACGTGCCACGGCCACCTATTATGCGATCAAAGGATCTCCCAGGGAGGACCAGAAAGGAACAGGATAGCGAAAGGTCACAAGGAAACGCAACACAAGAGCATGGAGGGCTGAAATCAAGGTAGGCCACAAATTGCTTACCACAAGGAAGGCACCGGAAGCCAGGCAGCAACTCAAGCACCGCACGCTGAAGTGCCGCACCCCACCCCTCGCACCTTAGGCAGAGGGAACACAAAAAGGATGGGAAGAATAGAAAAAAGAAACAGGGAGAGACAGAGAGAGAGAGAGAGAGAGAGAGAGAGAGAGAGAGAGAGAGAGAGAGAGAGAGAGAGAGAGAGAGAGAGAGAGAGAGAGAGAGAGAGAGAGAGAGAGAGAGAGAGAGAAAGAGAAAGAGAAAGAGCAAGAGCAAGAGCAAGAGCAAGAGCAAGAGAAAGAGAAAGAGAAAAAGAAAGAGCAAGAGCAAGAGAAAGAGAAAGAGAAAGAGAAAGAGAAAAAGAAAGAGAAAGAGCAAGAGAAAGAGAAAAAGAAAGAGAAAGAGAAAGAGAAAAAGAAAGAGAAAGAGAAACAGAAAGAGAAGGAAGCGGATGCGACGCAGCAGCGGCAAAGTGGCAAGCCGCGCACCCGAATGCGCAGAAAAAAGAAGAAGTATCGCCACGTAAAGCTGACGTGGACAAAAAGCGCAGCACTGTCGCTCACGCGCTGCGAAGGGAGGGCAGGTGCAGGGTGCTCGTCCAGGAATGAGCCTTGTTACGGGGCCTCTGCACCGAGAGATAGCCACGCCCACCGAACAGCAGCGTAACCCGGTCGCAGGCATGCTGCTGGTGTTGAAGTAGCCGCCGGAACAGGTCTGGTCGTTCGGCACCATTTCGACACGCTGCCAAGGTGGCCTTCCCCTCAAGCTGCCTCCACCAACTGCAATGCCAAATCAAAAGCCAGCCTAAGCGCCAATGCAGCCGGGTGCGATGGACGCAGGCGGAGCTCTCGGATGAACGCCTGCGCAACCATGAGGATTCGCACGCTGCGCCGCCATCGTCTTGAAAGTGACCGATTGGGTGTGGCAGGAACCCAAAAGCGGTGCCACACGGCGCGTGGGAAGCCAAACACAATCGGCTCGGTCAGCGACACCAGCGACTCCTGGGCGTCGACGTCGAAGCACCTGCAGCGCCAAATCGAAAGCCAGCCAGCCAGAAGAAGTGCCAACGCAGCCGGGTGCGATGGACGCAGGCGGAGCTCTCGGATGACCGCCTGCGCAACCATGAGGATTCGCACGCTGCACCGCCATCGTCTTGAAAGTGACCGATTGGGTGTGGCAGGAACCCAAAAGCGGTGCCACAAGGCGCGTGGGCCAAATCGAAATCCAGCCAGCCAGAAGTGCCAACGCAGCCGGGTGCGATGGACGCAGGCGGGAGCTTTCGGATGAACGCCTGCGCAACAATGAGGATTTGCACGCTGCGCCGCCATCGTCTTGAAAGTGACCGATTGGGTGTGGCAGGAACCCAAAAGCGGTGCCACAAGGCACGTGGGAAGCCAAACACAGTCGGCTCGGTCAGCGACGCCACCGACTCCTGGGCGTCGACGTCGAAGGACACGAATCTCGGACCAATCGGCTCCATGGTCCCACGGTCCCACCACAGAGCTACCCGGCGACCCACAGCTTGAGCCAAAATGGCTACGGAGCTCGAGTCAGAATAACTTCTTCGTCAGTTGTGTAGGGAACGAGCTACTTGGGCACCTTGCATCCCCGTATAACCCTTTAAGGCTTTAAGAGATTCTACAGGCTACCTACTGCTCTATGTCCCTACGAAGAACCAGCAAAACCCAACTGAAAACCTAAACCTTAAACCCTAAACCCCAACATAAGCAGCGGGGCCTGTAGCCATGCTCCTGGAAGTACTTCGCCAGTGACCTTCCAAGCAGTTGCCCCTTGATGGAGCTTATGACTTGCCCTAAGGGTCCATGTACCTAAATAGGGAATACTTGGGCCATAAAGAACTTCCTATATAAGGAGGCCTAAGTATATAAAGAGGTACATGGACCCTTAGAGTTGGGGATCATCTAGGTATAGTAACCTAGAAAAAGAATATGTATCGCAATTATTGGCAGCGTTTCCTCTTTCTAGAGTTTATGTCTATACATTGTTAGTCTGTTTGCAGTTGTAGGGTTGGTGATGCCACTACCCTAATCAGCCCGAATAAACCCTAATAAACCCTAATAAGCCCTAATAAGCACTAATAAGCCCTAAACCCTAAACCCTAAACCCTAAACCCCAATAAACCCCTAATAAGCCTTTCTGAAGCCATTTGCAGCCTCCAGAAGCGCGACGCAGCCCGCTCGCGGCGGGAAAGCACTGTGGGCGCAGCTGCCTTTTAGGGTTTAGGGTTTCGGGTTTAGGGTTTAGGGTTTAGGGCTGTCACGCCGCCGAAGCCCGGCAAAGGAGAAGCAAACGGCATTGTTTTGTCATGGCAAAATTAAATGTCCATCATTCTGTTCCCCACTTCGGAGTAGACCCTGGAAACAAAGTATATACTTTAGGTATAAGTAGCTATTATAGGAACCCAGAACCAAAAAAAGGTGTTAACGTATAGTGCTCCAAAAACCAGCGTGTTTTCTGCGATTATGACTGTTGATGAATCCTTGACACATCCGCTGTCCTGATCGTTGGGCGACACGTCATCCCGCAGAAGTCGGGCGCGCAAGTCGTCCTGCATAGGGTTTTAGAGGTTTAGCGGTTTAGGGGTTTAGGGGTTTAGGGTTTAGGGTTTAGGGTTTAGGGACGTGAACATCCAGAAACTTCCTGTGCGGTACCGCACATATTACAGCATGCAAGTGGTCATGCACGTTCCAAATTTAAGCCCCCGCACCTGAAACGTAGTGCTTTTTTGTGTGGAAGCACTTATCAGAAGGATCCCTGCTTCTGAAAACTTAGGACCTTAGAATTAACCCCAGGTGCTGCCTTCTAGTTCCTAGATAAGTGCGGTCCGGTATGCGATGGAAGCTAGACCAAACTCATAGAGGAGTTTCGGGTTTAGGGGTAGCCTCAAGCAAGAGCATGCCGTTGCGCCAGGTACGAGCTAGCTAGCCCTGGCCTAAAACGCACCATCCACAATATCCTGCTCAAGCATACAAGTGATACCTACATTGGGGCCTAAACATTAATTACTACAAAATGATACCTACTTTGGGCTATTTGGAACCTTAGGGTTCCAGCCTGCACAAGAAACCTGCAAGTATGCATGCGAGAGGCTGGCATGATGCAGGGACTCCTGCATCCGCCGCATCAACATCTTCATAGTTTTTTTGTTGCCCTAAACCTCGTAAACCCTAACCTACAAGCCCTGAGCCTTATAAACCCTAAGCCCTACAAACCCTGAACCTTATAACCCCAAGCCCTCTAAACCCTAAACCTTATAAACCCAAACCCTTATAAACCCTGAGCCCTAAACCCTGGACCCTAAACCCTAAACCCTAAACCCTAAGACCTATAAACCCTAAACCTCTCGCGTTAGCAACCGCAATTCCAGAGTCGGATCCTGTTCGGACATGCCGGCGGAGCCTCAGTTGGTGACTGGACTGCTTCGGGTTTAGGGTTTAGGGTTTAGGGTTTAGGGTTTAGGGTTTAGGGTTTAGGGTTTAGGGTTTAGGGTTTAGGGTTTAGGGTTTAGGGTTTAGGGTTTAGGGTTTAGGGCTTAGGGTTTAGGGTTTAGGGGGTTTGAGTTTAGGGTTTAGGGTTTAGGGTTGAGGTAGGGCTGGGTTCTTGCAAACTTCTAGTGAGGACTGTGCTTCATAAAAACCCATCTTAATGGTTTCGTGTTTTGCTAAAAGCGGCTTGTCATGTCAAACATGTAGCCTGACCACAAGGAGGCCTCCACAATTGATGCAACCAAATGCAAACACCACCCGAGGGGCCGGTAGCAATGGAAGATCCGTTGAAAGGTCAATGTTCAAGCTTTGATGTCGGTGAAGGCCTGTCGCGTACAACTTTCACAGGACACCTCATCGCTTTGTAGCAAAAAACACGAGCAGCGGCATGGCTTGCTAGTTTTTGTTGACCATGGAAGCACCCGATTCCATCTACATGCAGCAGAATGCGCAGTGCAGTGCACAAATGCAAGAATCGCCAATGCTCTTTTCAATTGGGTGGTTCCTTTTTGGGGTACCCTAAATATTATAGGTGCCGTATTAGAATAGGGATCCAAAATATTAGGCCGTATTTTATAGGGATCCAAAACGGGACCATAATGTTGACAATCGCCCATTGGGTCTGGCCAAGCCACTCATGGCTGAGAGCTGCTGGGGCCACTGGAAACTGAAAAGGATCGAAACATTCGTCGGGCCATCCGGGGGTTTCCGAAATTTGGAGTGCCTTATTGGGGGTCCTTTTTAAGGGGGATCCTACTCCTTGGGGGTCTAAGTTGGGGGTCACCTGTCTTCGTAAACCCCAATTTTGTTTTCCGGCGCATGAGAATGTGTCGCAAGTGGGGTGCCGAGATGGTTGAGTCCCCACGCTTGTTCAAGCTGCTTGGCGCATGAAGCGCGTGATCCAATCAGCGACATGAGGGTTTACGAGAACAAGGGGACCCCTAATATAGACCCCCAAGTAGTAGGATTCCCTTGTAATTAGGACCCCACAAAGGCATCCTAATTTCGGAAACCCCCACATCTGAAGACAATGGTTCGCCAAAGGCCACACACCCAGAGCGAAACAGCAAGAAAGTGGAAGCTAGGCCGTTTGGCACCTCGTGGGGCCGTCGCCAGCCCACACCAGCATCCAGGTCGGTTGTTGTAAAGGTATGCTTGGCATGTAAGCCTGTGTACGTACCACACTACATGATGTAGAAGGTGTAGGTTTTGCATAGGCGGTAAAACTACTTCTATAGGCAGGCTGTCAAATTATTGGGATGGCGAGTTTGTCAAGAAGCCCCTGTATAGCCTTGCCCCCAAACCCTGGCTAGTCACTGTACACAACTTTCCTGGTGGCTAGTTCTGGTTGCAATGATATTAATGATTTGAATGTCCATTCCTTATTGGGTTACCCGTAAAGATGTAAAATCCTGGCCCCACTATGATTCAGGTATGATTTCTTGTCGACGGTCAAGCTGGCAAGATGGCGTGGGCCTCATCTGGATGTTGTAGTTCGGCTCAATCTGACTTGAGCAGCAATGGCAGCATCCGCAGGCATGGTACTGCGTACGTTACTAGGTCCTGCAGTCGCCCAGGGCCTTAGGCCTTAGGGTTTTTAGGGTATAGGGTTTAGGGTTTGGGGTAGAAAAGGTGCGTCTTCTTGCGGAAGGGGTTGCTCATCGCGGCTGCTAAAGGTCTCAAACAAGAAGTGGTCAGGAAAACCAGCCAAACCAAAACACCAAAAAGGAAGTTTTTTCGGGGGTTGTCGAAGGGAGTTCTGAGAGACGCCAGATGTAATAAGGTGGGTACTGCTGGGAATCCAGTGTCCAAAGCAAGGGGAAAGGTTTAGGGTGGAGTCATCATGGGTTCCCCTCCTACCCCCCTCTATACTACCCCCCCCCCCCCCTAGGTTCAACCCTTAAATAACCTTAATTAAGCTTAGTTATCCCTAAATAGCCTTAATGATGGGGGGAACCTAGGGGGGGGGTAGTATAGAGGCGGGTAGCAAAGGAACCCATGAAGTCAGAGTAGAAATCCAAAAGCGAGACATGCCCCCAAACCCCAAAGTCTAAACCTCCAGAGGAGCCCAAATCGACCCGAAACCACCCCGAATCCCAGACTCAAACCCTAAACTTGGATGCCTCCTTCTTTGTTTTTGCTGTTGGTCCTCGCGACATGTGTCTGTTCACGGGCAGGAGGCCGCGGGCACCCACACTGCTGCTTGATGCTTTCTTATTGGCCTCATGCTCGTGACCGGAAGAGCCACAGCCCATGCCGGATGGGAGAATATTAAACGATAAGCTTTGTCTGCATCCCAGCTAGCCGCCCAGGTCCGTTTACATAACCAGGTAGTGTGCTTGGTCGTACATTCAACTCAACTACCCTAAACCCTAAACCCTAAAACCTAAACCCTAAACCCTAAACCCTAAACCCAAACAACTACGCTTGGATCGCATAGGGCAATCCTTTGAGAGGCCAGGTCCCGCTACTTTCTGGGGTGTCCCGGGCCAGCAAGTCTGGGACAGCATGACAGCTGTGCTGAGAGCTACAAGGGTTTAGGGTTTAGGGTTTGGGGTTTAGGGTTTAGGGTTTTAGGGTTTAGGGTTTAGGGTTTAGGGTGCAGGGTTCAGGGTGCAACTGCTGCCGCAGGGCTCAGCAAATCTTGCCGGAAGCCAGTGAGTGCCTGCAGTTCAGTCAGCTGACCCCAAACCCTAAACCCTAAACCCTAAACCTAAACCCTAAACCCTAAACCCTAAACCCTAAACCCTAAACCCTAAACCCTAAACCCTGAACCCTGAACCCTGAACCCTACACCGGGGGGGATCGATCTAGGAAGCACGACCCGCATCGTGAAGACCCTCATATGCAAGCCGAAGCCGTTGAGGTGCTTAATTGCTGCTAAGGTTCGTGCCCTACATGTCTAGTTCATTGTTGGGATAATATTCAATATTTACTTTTGTAGTCATTATTGTGTTTAAGTACCCTTAAAAATGCAAGATGCTACCCAACGATGACCAAGATGTACTGGCCAAAGACATGTCAAGCCTTAACTGCTCTCATCTTCATGCTGTCGCCCTTGAGAAGCTATGCCGGAACTCTTAGTCCCGAAACCCTAAACCCTAAACCCTAAACCCTAAACCCTAAACCCTAAACCCTAGACCCGTAGTAGGGCGAAGTCCCTTGACCGGGGTCTTCTGTTGCGAAGCTGTGGCTGAAATCAGCTCGATCTACACTACTACAAATGACTCTTTGCGTTGATTCTGAGCATATTCTACTACATCTTGGGGTAGTTACATGGTCCCTTAGTATGGGCCCTCAAACCCTTTAGGGGAGGTAAGGGACCATATTGAGGGCCCATGAAACTACCCTCAGACTACATTTGCGGTTTATGACGTTTATGTTCTATGGCCCTTTAGTTTAGAGGCTCTCCTGGTCTGTGGTGACCCACTCCGGAAAGCACTCCATCAGCATCCTGACTGCTAGTTGCCAGCAACTTCTCTATAGGCTTGGGGTCTTGGGGTTTAGGGCCTCTGCCTGGCACTGCTTGGATTTCCAGGAAACAATCCAAGGCTGGACTCCCTGAATGGGAGAGAACGTGACTCTGCCCCGGAGTATTGGGGCTTGGCGACTCTTCTATACTACAGGGCCCTTAATCATTAGAGTAGGTTCTTTTTTTTTTGGGGGGGGGGGGGGGGGGGAGGGGGGTATGATGGAATAAGTACTATAAAGGGACCATAACAGAATGATACCATTCGAAAGTATTCCGAGCCCTGCGCAGGTGTGCATCGAAGTCGCTCATTTGCGAAAGACGCAGCGACCGAGCACCTCCCACTGGCTGAGAGCGCAGCTGCGGCTGAACACCGTTAGTATCAAGGGACTACAGTAGAGGCGGGAGCCAGGGACCTAGGAGTCATCTATAGGGGTTTTTGCAGGGGGGCACTCAGGTATGTAGGGACTTTGTGATGTCAGAAACTGGGGGAAAATAGCTGTCGTCTCCTCTCCGCACCTTCAGTCACCCAGCAAACCCTAAACCCTGAACCCTAAACCCTACGTCAGTAAACTGAGTAGGTGGGCTCGGAGTGATCTGCAAAAACCCTGCCTGATGGACCATCGCGCCAGCCAAACCGGCACACTCCTTCATCCAGTCACTATAGTGTTTTTCAGGTTCGGGCGGCTCAAGGGGGGGGGGCGGGGGGGGTACCTAGGGAACCTTAAGGAACCTTAGAGCCTTAGGGAGTAGTAGGGAGAAAAAAATAGAGAACCTTGGGTTCCATACCCCCCCTTGAACTCCCCTCCCCTAACAACCCTGTAAGTATCCTACATGCACCGGGAGCAACGCAAGGACTCGCAGAAGCACAGAGAAGCACAGCGACCCAGGACCAATGCAGCATGCCTTGACAGTAATCCTAAACCCCTCAACTACAACTTGCCTAACACCCCCCCCCCAAAAAAAAAAAAACATGTTGTCGAGAATAGCTCCCTAAAATTACCTTATAAGGAAGAATACAATTTTGTTTTTGGCATGGGGGTCCTTAAGCAAATAGAATCACCCCCCCCCCCCCCCCCCCCCCCAAATCCTGCACTTGGCTCTGAATCTTCTTACCAGTGCTGAAGATTGGGTCGGCAGTGCATCGCTTCTTCGTCGTGGCCACGGCCGACCTGTTCTCCAGCGTAGGGTTTAGGGTGAGTGAGGGTTAGGGTTTAGGGTTTAGGGTTGAGGGTTTAGGGTTTAGGGTTCAGGGTCTAACACGACGGGACAAGGGGCTTAGGGTTGTCTGCCAGCGTTTTGTCGACAAAGTGGGTTTGCGTGGGACAGGCATAGGGGCCTTCGGCTTTTCGTTTGATCGCGACGTCACGTGACAACCACAGGTTGCCGGTTCCATGAACAGAGGGTTGATCTCGATCATGAGCCCGTGCTTGGGGTCTGTATGATAGTGAATGTTATATTTGTCTAGGTTTCGACATGCACATATTCATATACGCGTACACTTAGAAACATATCTATCTCCATCTTGTGATTTAGAGCGGATCCCCTGTCACAGACGGAGGTTGTAGGGCAGTAGCCTGTCAGACACCCTGTCAGACACCCTGTCAGGCCCAGCTCATGTACCCTTTTCCAATGTACCGGACCCCTTATATAGATCCCCAAATAGTAGGACTGTATCCCTAATTTTCGGAAACCTCCATGTCAGGTTTGCAAAGAGGACCTTTAACTTGAGATGTTCTCCCTTATACTAACAGTCCTTAAGAGGGATTATAATGGGGGGGGGGGGTGGGTACTCTAATCCCGATTAAGGACTCCCAGTATAGGGGGAACATCCCAAAATAGGACCCACCAAGTGCTTGCGGAGGCACCCTTGTCCGGCGGTCACCAGCTGCGCTGTGATGACCGCCTGGCGTGAACATAGAGAGCATGAAGTGAGGCTCAAAATGCTTGCATCCCCGCCCTCAACCCTAAACCCTAAACCCTAAATCCTAAACCCTAAACCCTAAACCCTAAACCCTAAACCCTAAACCCTAAACCCTAAACCCTCAGGTCTTGTGGCTTTCATTTGAGGGGGGGGGCCTCCCTAGGAGTCAGGACCCTGAGGGCGGCACTAACGAGGCGTTGCCTCGGATGAGCACCTGCCTCCCGGCCCTCCCCTCCGCCGCAAGAGTGACAGTGCCTGAGGACTTGCCTCCTTTTCGTGTTCTGTGGGTATTGCTGACCCTTTACAATTTGCGGCCGCTGCCATATTCTCAGTTCACGCCTGTTGTCCTTGGACTTCTCTGGCTCCTGAACCCATGTGATTCTCCCTTGCATGCTCTCGGCTCTCCCACTCTCTTGGGGACCTCTGTGAAAAGTCTTGACGGGATTCTTGCTTCACAGCCGCTTCCTTTTTTTTTTTGCCCGCCATTATTCGCCAGGGAGAATATATGCGTGCGCTGCGGACCACGTCCCACGGGTTGCGTGCGCTGCTAGCCACGTCCCCTCCTGGAGAGCGCGTGCGCCGCATGCCACGTCCCGCGGGGTGCGTGTGTCGCATGCCACGTTCATTCTTTAAGAGTTTAATTTTTTTTGTTGCTTCCTTCTTTCGGTCCACTTTCGCGTTGCGAATGTGCGTTGGCTCTCCTTTTGAAATCCCTGCTGTTCTCTTCTTCTCGCCTGTCATGTGGTTTCAGGAGGGAATGCGTGCGCTGTGGACCACGTCCTACGGGTTGCGTGCGCTGCTAGCCACGTCCCCTCCTGGGGAGCGCGTGTGCTGCATGCCACGTCCCGTGGGGTGCGTGCGTCGCGTGCCACGTCCATTTTTTTTGTTTCTTCTGTTTTTTTTTCTCCCTCTTTTCTTTCCCTCTCCCGGTCATAAGCTTTCGCATTTGAGCGAACTGGCATTGGCTCATCCTAGCCATAGTGTATTGCATGCTTTGCTGCGGCAGTGAAAGGGGAGGTAGCCAAGTGATGGGGCCGCGGCTTTAAGCTAGTCAACCATTTACTTGGCTGCCTCTCCCCTGGCTTCTTGCTGGGTTGGTCGTATGATGATAGTTGTGCAGGGGGTGGGGCCGCGGCCTTGTGCTAGTCATCCTCCCCTGTCACATTCGGTTTGGGGAAGGATGGCGGGCGCCGGGGCCGCGGCTTCGTGCCAGTCAACCGGTCGCCCGCCTTCCTCTCCCTGCGTGGTGCACTTACAGTCTTGGGGGTGGGGCCGCGGCCCTGTGCTAGTCAACCACCCCCTAATGGCCAGGCAGTCCGAGCTGCGCTTGCAGCTAACGCCCATGTGACGGTCGCTTTGCTTGTTCAGTTTCTCGGTTCAACATGCCACCTCTGTCTCCCTTCCGCCTTGTGTTTTGAGCTCCGCCCCTTGACCAGATGTTTGTGCCCGCCTGGGTCCTTCATGAGCGGCTGTGCGGTTGGGCGATTGCGTGGTTGCGCGGTTGTGCTGGTGTCCGGTTGTGCGGTCGTGCGCAAGTGCAGTGGTGCGCTTGTGCAGTAGCGCGTAGTTGGGCGGCTGTGCTTGTGCGGCTGTACAAGTGTGTGGTGGTGCGGTTTGCGGTTGTGCAGATGTGCTGAGGCCGGTGCAAGGTTGCGCGGTTTAAGTTGTGCGGTTGTGCGGCTGTGGTTGTGCGTTAGTGGCGCCCCCTAGGGTGCCGACAGCCTTGCTAGTCTGTCATTGGCTGTTGGCGTCTCCTTGGCTGCTCCCCGGAGCTTCCCCGCTCCTGCAGCCTTGTTATTGCCCGGTCCTGCATCACTAAGCGGTTTTCACACACGTGCGTGCTTCCCCGTTGAACCCGGTTGCTCCCCGGCGCCGCCCAGTGCGCCTGCAACCTGTGCTGCATCAACCTGGCGAGCTACTGCAGAGGGCGCCCTAGCTCGTGTGCTTGCCCAGTGAGGCTTCGGTTTTCCCTTTTTCCGGTTGGTTTTCAGGGTTCTCCCTCCTTACTTGGCAAGGGTTTGCCCTGCTTGACCCCCTGCCCCCAGCTGCTCCCCGGCTCCTCCCCGCCTGCAGCCTTGGTGCCCCCCTTGTGATTGTTGTTTGTCTTATTGCCTTTGTTGGCTGCTCCCCGGCGATACCAAGCGCCTGCAGCCTTGGCCTCAATCGGGCCTGCTTCTACATCGAGCGGGAATTGCCTTATTCTCTCTCGTGGTCCCTGTTGCACCTGCAACCTGTACACTGTTTCAGCTCGGCGTCCCCCGTCGTCGGTTGTGGGTCGTCGCAGACATTTATACACTGGTGTTAAGTGAGGGCGTCGAGTTTGGATCTCGTTCACCGCCGAGTTGCGTTGCAGTGGGTTCCCCTCTTTTCTTGTCCTGCTGGCTTCCCCGCTGCCCCCGGTTGCCCCCGGCGGTTTCGGTGCGCCTGCAGCCTATGCCAGCTTTGGTGTCTCCTGTTACACGACTCTGCAACGTGTGTGGGAGTTTTTACAGCAAGGTGCCAATTACCTAACCAGGCCATCAGATCCCTGTTGCAGGCCCCGTCACATGTTGCTGTTCAAGCACGGGCCTGGAGCCCCTTGGTCTGTGCTGCAGCTCAGGGTTTGCGTCCCTTGGAGCAAGGTGTCCCTTCCTGCCCAGGCCTGGCTTACTTAGTGTCTATGGTGTGCCATCCGGTGTTCTGCCTGCATGTCTGCGGCGTGTGCGCTGCGTCAGCTCTTCCCTTCCCGTGTTCGTGATGGGTGCGGCACCGTTCCTTTCTTTTTTTTCTCTTTTTTTGTTTTTTTTTTTTTTTCCCGCCTCCCCCTCCCCCCCCCCCCCCCTCCCTTTCCCCCCCGTCCCCCGTCCCCCCCGTCGCCCCCGTCGACCCCGTCGCCCCGTCGCCCCGCCCCCGTCGCCCCCCCCCCCCCCCTTCGCCCCCTTCGCCCCCCTCGCCCCCCGCCCTGCCCCCCCCCCCCCCCCCCTTACCTCATCTGCAGCGCGCGTTTGCTTTGGTTTGTTGCTTTGTCTTGACGCGTTGCCCAAGTTACTTTTCGGCTTAAGTGTGGGTTGGGGCATCCTACTGCAGCCATGGACGCTGACCTTCGTGCGCAGGCTAACCGAGCCATTCGCATGGGCCTCCTCCTTGCGGAACGCAGCATTGACGCGCTGCTGCCAGACGCTGGCCGTGCTGGCTCGCCTCCTGTGTGCTCAGTTGACCGCTCCAACAACATGCAAACCCAAAGCCAAGCTGAGGCACCTGCCTGCAGCCGCACCCTCGCTGTGTATGGGCAGTCGGCGCGCCCTGCCACTCGCCCCCCCACACGCGTGTCTGCTGGTGGTACCTCCGGCCGTGCCCAAGCGCCAGGACGTGAACGTTCACGCTCTCCTTATGCCACGGCGCCCAAATCCCGTGCCCTGCCGCCTACCTTGCGGAGCCGTCCTGTCTGGGCCCCTGCAACGACGGGTCCCCCGCAAAACCGTGCTACCAGTGCTGCCAGTGTTCCTCAGCGCAGTCAGACTTTGGGTCGTCGCCCAGTTCACGGTGCACCGTCAACCCCTCCGCCAGCTGCCCTCACGGTAGCCCCCACCATTGCACTCCCGGCAGGTCTTTTCATCATGGGCCTCCCACGCGCCCCTTCTGCTGCCCAGCTCGACGCCGTGTACCGCTGTGTATCTGGCCTCTCTCCCACCCTTGGTGGTCTGGAACGCGGTTTTCAGCTTGCATCCGTGCTGCGGGGAAAACGTGCATCCCCTTCATTCATTCTGTCCCACCTGTCTTTTGCTAACTCCAGTACGGTTTCCTGCATCCTTAAGGAGCTCAAGGATGGCTCATCACTGGATGGCAAAGGGCGGGCCAAAATCCGCACGCCTGTGGGTGTGCTCAAGGTTTCGCAAGCCCCTGTGTCTGCAGCGCGGCGCCGTCTCCGGGATGCCGCCCCGGTTCGCGGCTAAGTGCAGGCCTCTACGCAAGCACTTGACTGGCTCCTTGCCCTCAGACGCATGCCACATGCGGCGCCAGACACGGCCTGCCTTTTGTCCTCTTGCAGTGCTGTGACATTTGCTTTGCGCGAGAAAATAACCATGTGCTGTCCGTGCCTGCTTGCTGGTCTGCGGTCTGCGTGATGTGCGCTCAGGTTGTGCGCGCCGCCTCTCATCCGTTCACGGGTTGTGTGTCCCGCAGCCGTTTTGGCTCCTTGTCCCCCTCTGTGCTTAGTTTCCTCTCTTTTTGCTTCTTCCCTTTCCTTCCTCTTGCTCTCCTCTCCGCTGTTTTCGTCTGTGTCCTCTCCTTGCTCTAGCATGGATTTGTTAATAAGTGATGGTAGCGATGGCTCCCACTCCTCGGCCAGCGCAGCGTCTGACGACACAGCTGCTCCCGTTGCTGCAGACCGTGCCTCCATGAGAGTCGGGACTCGACTTCCCCTTGGTAGTTTCTCTGGCAAGTGTATTGGTGACGACATGTCGTGGAAGGGCTCCTTGACCCTCCGTATCGCATGTGTCCAGTGCGGTAGTGTTGGCAGAGACCGCGTACACTGGGGCATGTGGCATGCCCAAGGCCTTTCCTCCCTTGGAGCGGACGTAGGGCTACTTTCTGAGACTGCATTGCATTCGGAACCACAACATGCCTCAGCGTCGCGTGGTATGGAGTTGGCTAGTTACCGCGCCGTCAGCCATGGGAAGCCGTTGCAACATACCACTGGTTTGGGTTCGGGGGTTCTCCTTGCTGTGCATTCTGGGTATGCGGGGAACTGGCAAAACATAGCCCGGGATGCCCTTGGCCGCGCGGTTGCTGCATCCGTGATCTCCTCTACTGGCACAGTTGTTCGCTTTGTTGCTGTCTACGGCCCGGTAGGTGCTTGCCTGCCAGGTTTTACGAATCCGCAGCAGCTGGACGCAGAAACCAACCTTAAGGCTTTCATTGACTCCCAAATTGATCTTGCCCTGTCCTCGCAGACCCTGCTGATAGTTGGTGGAGACTTGAATTCTTTCTGCTCTGACCAGCTG